GGGGGTGTGAGGTGCCAGTGTCACCCACTGAGTCACCAGGCAAACTACACAGAGCCCAAGCCGGTGGGTGTGAGGTGCCAGTGTCACCCACTGAGTCACCACGCAAACTACACAGAGCCCAAGCAGGGAGGTGTGAGGTGCCAGTGTCACCCACTGAGTCACCAAGCAAACTACACAGAGCCCAAGTCGGGGGGTGTGAGGTGCCAGTGTTACCCACTGCAGCATGTGCTCTCGGAGACAATCATAATCATTCTGCTTCTGGCTGTTGGACTCTAATAACCATAGACTGTGTGGGTCATTTGTGAGAAATTAAGCACAAATGAGTGACAAGAACTGGTCACAAAAAGACATTCATCTTTCCCGGCATGGAAATATTTTGTATCCCATACAGACGATGTTGAGCAGGAAGTGATCTGTCAGCACTGTTTGTGTCTGTTGGCACAACTTACAGCAACACCACCAACTTATCTGACAGACTCTGTTGGTAGATCAGTTCTGTTTCCCTGTTGTTTTAAGATGATGTGAGGGGGGTATAGGGCTCTCGATGGAACAAACAGGCACACTTAGATTCGCTTCTAAAAACATTTTATTACAAGTAATACAAAATAACCTTGCATTAAAATCAATACCAAAATATTGGATCAAAGGCAATGCAAAATAATCATGTATCACAAGTGATATTCAATAATATTATTTATCATTAACAATACTAAAACTGCCAATACAAGAGATTATAGGCATGTATAAAAAAGTAACAATTGAAACATGCATATATAGAAAGTGCAACTTGATATTATGGTTATTGTGATAATTGATTGAATCAATTATCTGCAAAGCTATTCACACTCGTACGTGCCGTCATCACCCACCTTCACTCTTAGACTGGGGAGCCCGTTTCAGTCCTGGCAGGAGACCAACACGTGAGTCCCGAGAAAGGGGGCGATGCGCACTCTATCCCACGGCTGAGCTCCAGTCAGTACTGAGATCTCCCCCTTCCTTTATACTAATTTTGGGCGCTGCGTGCGGGCAGAGGACGAGCTGGCCAGGCTCACCCCTCCCCTCAGGCAATGTGTTGTCTAATTCCCAATTTTGTCTAAGTAAGCAGTTTGCAGCTTCAATCAGAAGTGATAAGACAAGTTCCTATAATCAATGCCCCCCTCCCCTCCTGAGGATGGGGTGAGCGTCCTACACACACTGACCACTAGGTGCGGTTTCAAAGATAGTTAGACAAGTATCCTTGGGCAATGCTTTCCCCTTCTTAATGCCGTTAGGCATGGCTTCAGTCAAAATAGGAATGAGCAGAGCTTTCTCTTCTCTTCTGAAGACTCTTCAAAAGAGAGGACAAGGCAGGTGTCTCATATACCGACCAATGGTGTGCAAAACATACTGGGTGAACCCCTCCGAAACCCAGGGACACCTGGTAAGCGTCCTTGGATACAGTAAGCATCCCTAAACAAGGATTCTTTCACATTAGATAAGGATCCTCTGAAACCAGTCATTTGTGAAGAACAAGTTATACAAGTGACCAGAAAGAAAAAGGGGGGAAAAAACCACGCTATGTAGTTTTTTACCCTTAATACAATGATATTATTATATGTGATTCATGGACGACGTATTTGAATCTCAGGATTAGTCCACACACGATCAGAATTAATCCACACCTCAATCACCTCAAACTGTAAATAATGGTGCCGCACAATTACAACTTCCCAAATCATTACAGTGACGGGGGGACACTCAATACATTGTTTTAACTCTATACTACGTGGGCGGCGTGGCCAGTTATGGGGCCACCGGCAAGTTCGTCTTGATACAGCTGTATAGTTAATATTCAACTACTAAATATCACAAAAACATCAAATATTGCAGTGTGGAGCTGAATGTCTTCTTTTAAGATGTATTCTCATTGCAGT